TGAATTCAAGTAAACCAACAAACCAACTTTAGGAAGGCGTTCACGAGAAAATCAGCGAAACCTGACTGTTGCCTGGATGTTAGATGATATAAAGGAAGTATTGTTAAATGGTCTACATGGAATGATGATATGGTTGTGAAGGGTTTGTTTTTTTTTTCTGAGTTTTGTTTGTTTGTTTAGGTTTTTTAGTTTTTGGTTTTTTTGAGATGGAGTCTCACCCTATTGCCCAGGCTGGAGTTCAGCAGCATGATCCCAGCTCATTGCAACCTTCATCTCCTGGGTTCAAACAATTCTCCTGCCTCAGCCTCCCGAGTAGCTAGGATTACAGGTGTACACCACCATGCCCTGCTGATTGGCATTGTAGTCGAGATGCAGTTTCACCATGTTGGTGAGGCTGGTCTCGAACTCCTGACTTCAGGTGACTGGCTTGCCTCGTCCTCCAAAGTTGCTAGTATTACAGGCATGAGCCGCTGCACCTAGCCTGTTTGGTTTTTTGAGACAAGGTCTCACTCTGTCACCCAGGCTGGAGTTTAGTGGCAGGACCACAGCTCTTTACAGCCTCAACCTCCTGGGCTCAAGCAATCTTCCCACCTCAGCCTCTTGAGCACCCAGAACTACAGGTGCACACCACCTCACCTGGCAAATTGTTAAACTTTTTGTAGAGACAGAGTCTCACCATGTTGCCAAGGTTGGTCTCAAACTGCTGGGCTCATGCAATCTGCCCACTGCAGCCTCCCAAAGTGTTGGGATTATAGGCACGAGCCACAGTGCCTGGCCAGGTTTCTCTTTTTTTTAAGTCTTCTTCTCTAAGACTACTTAGACACATTCATGGATGAAAGAAAACGATGTCTGAAATTTGCTTAAAAACACCAGGGTCACACTACACAAATGTCCATCAACAGCTGAATGAATAAACAGAGTGATATATTCAGATATTCAGATGGTGGAATATTATTCAGCTTTGAAAAGGAAATTCTGATACACACTATGACCTGGATGGACCTTGAAAACATTATGCTCAGTGAAATGAGCCAAACCAAAAGGACAAATACTATAATTCCACTCCTATGAGGTTCCTAGAGGCGTCAAAATCGTAGCGGCAGAAAGCCGAATGGCGGCGTTCGGAGCCTGGGGGACGGGGGTGGGAGTGAGTGTTTAATGGGGACAGAGCTTCAGTTTAGAAGATGAAAAGGTTCTGGAGATGAACGTGGTGCTGGTCTCACAGAAACCTGAATGTGCTTAATGCCACTGAGGTGTGCACTTAAAGACGGTTGAGGGGGCCAGGCACGGTGGCTTGCTTTTGTAATCCCAGCACTTTGGGAGGCTGAGGTGGGCGGATCATGAGGTCAGAAGTTCAAGACCAGCCTGGCCAACATAGTGAAACCCCACCTCTACTAAAAATACAAAAAAAAAAAAATAGCCAGGTGTGGTGGCACACGCTCATAGTTCCAGCTACTCGGGAGGCTGAGGCAAAAGAATTGCTTGAACCCGGGAAGTGGAGGTTGCAGTGAGCTGAGACTGTGCCATTGTACTCCATCCTGGGCAACAGAGCGAGACTCCATCTCAAAAAAAAAAAAAAAGGTGGTTGAAATGGTAAAATTTAGGCTATTTGCCACAATAATTTTTAAATACCAGGGTGGGTGAGTGCTGTGCCAATTACCATTGAAACTGGGTGTGGAAGCATGGTGAGATCTTTGAGTATCCACTGCATTTTTCTGTGTTTGAAATTTTCCATACAGAATGCTTCCTTTAAAACTTCATAGTAGGGCTCAGACTCTGTCTCAGAAAAAAGAAAAAAAAAAAAAGAAAACTTGAGAGTAAAACAGCAATCCAAATCCATCAGGGCTGATGAGGAAATGCAGGAAACAGCGGCATGTGAAACTCTCATGGGATTGTGGGGAAAATCTGGCTGCCCGACTGTCTATGATATTTCAATTATATGCAAAATAGGCATTAGGAAAAAAAGTCTGGAAAGAAATATACCAAAATTACAATAGCTATTCAGACAGTGGGGTAAGCAGTCATGGCTTTTCTTTTTCTGAACCTTTTCTGGCAGGGTTCCTTGTAGAGTTTTTTTTGTTTGTTTGCTTTTGTTTTTGAGATGGAGTCTGGCTCTGTCGCCCAGGCTGGAGTGCAGTGGCGCAATCTCAGCTCACTGCAACCTCTGGCTCCCAGGTTCAAGCGATTCTCCTGTCTCGGCCTCCCGAGTAGCTGGGACTGTAGGTGCTCACCAACACGCCCAGCTAATTTTTGCATTTTTAGTAGCGACGGGGTTTCACCACGTTAGCCAGGTTGTTTCCAACTCCTGACCTCAGGTGATCTGCCCACCTCGGCCTCCCAAAATGCTGGGATTACAGGCATGAGCCACCATGCCCAGCCCCCTTTAGAGTTTTATAAGTAAATTACATCCACCCAAGGCAGGAACAGGAGAGAGGATGTCAGGAAGTAACCAGGGCAGGGATCTGGCAATATCACTCCGGAGAGCCCAGCGGCTTCCTGGGAGAGGCAGGCTGGCAGTCCGCCCAGAGCAAGGAGCTTGCAGGGCTCTGCTCCAGCTGTCTGGCCCTCAGTTTGAAGGCTGGGCTCCCATCCCAAATGGACACAGTGCTGGTCAAAATAGCAATGAAGGAGGCAGCCAGTCTGCAAAGGAGCCGGTCCACCTTCCCACATGGGCCTGCGCCTCTGCTGCCCGGGGACCCCGCCACGGGCCTTCAAGCCTCTCCCGTCCCACCCTGTCCTGCCCACATTCTGTTCTCTCAGGGGTCCACCCTTTGCAGCCACAGCTTGTTGAGGCCAATCGCTGCTGGCTCCCGGGGGTGCAATGGGCCAGGCTGGTCCCGAGAAGTGTCCCCGGCAGGGAGGGGACCTCGGCACCCACCCAGCTGCAGCAGGCCCTGTGGAAGGCGCTTCCTGCCCCTTCGCCTCCCGCTGCGGCGTCCATGGGCTTGTGGTTGCCTCGGCCCAATCTGGACTCCGAGTTGCTCAACCAGCCATGCTTTTCCTGTTCCCCTTTTCCCAGGCGGGTGCAGCTCCTGCCGGTGTGGTCCTGGCCTCTGCGGGCTCACCGCAGGGAAGCACGGCCCCATGCATGGCGGCCCCCAGGGCTGTTTCCACGTCTCTGATTGCTTTTTCCCTCCTGGGTTGCTAAACAGTTGATGAAGAAACCCCTTTCATTTGCTTTTTTATTTTGAGGAAGGAGCCCAGGCTGTCTGTCTGGGAAAACGCTATAATGGTCCTAAGGACAAGGACAAGCCCCCAGCAGACCCAAGAGCCACTGGAAGCACCTCTCCTGCCTGTCCCTGGGTTGACGGTGCCCAAGCGGGGGTGTGCAGTCATAACCGCTGCTGTTTAAGGCGACTTCCTGTTGACCCGAGGAGCGAGTGCTAGCCCATCCCACCCTCCCAGGAGTCCTCCAAAGGGGTGTCGCTGTGACCCTGGGTTTGCTGACAAGGTAACTGTGCTGGGCTCAGGGAGGTGGATGGCACCACTTCCCCATGCAGGACCACCAAGCACCGTGCCAGGTGTCCACAGGTGTCCACGTACCTCCCAGGCCACACAGACGTGGGGGAATCCTTTGGTGAGTGGAGACTCACTCCTGAATTCACCTTTTTCTGAAGGAAATGTCAAGGGACAGAGAAAAACACCTACAACAAAAAACACCTGCACCCAGGAGACTCCCTTCTGGGAGGAAGGCAGGGCAACACTAAGACGGGGTCCCGGTAACGTGGTATTCTTACGCCAGCTCACGGGTCCACAGGGCTTCACTATGTCATCCTTGATACGATGCTGAGTGTTTGAAATCTTTTATAACAATTTTAAAGCAAAAAACTTTAAATACCATCATATAATAATCATGTCATTTTAAAGCAAAAAATTGTACAGTTTTCCTCCCTAGCACTGAGGAAATGCCAGGAGGAATGTTAGCCGTGTGGCTGGTGTTCTATGCGTGGAACACACAGCGTGAAGGCGAGGCGAGGCCCACCCTAACTCGTCACGTGGAATTGGAATCGTGGGTTGATGGAAAGTCCCACCACAGCCCCTCTAGCCTCCGAGGGCTGTCTGACCCCACCCCCAGCCACAGCCTATGCAGGTCACTCCTGAGGACCACCCCTCCCCTCCACCAGCCGTGTAAAAGCAGCAACCCCGACGCGAGGAACCTGCAATGCCTCTCAAGCCCAAAGACAGAAAACTGCAAGCCGCTCAGACACCTGAAACAAACACTGACTTGGCTTTCGTGACCCTGAGTTCCACAAGGATCTTTATTATGTAAACATCTGAAAGATCCGTTCTCTGGAAATGGACAAAATACATGATTCACTCACAGCATAAACAGCACAGCATCCCACTGCTCCAGTCTGCAACTGTCTATCATCATTTTTATTTCAAAAAATTCACAGAGGGTTTCATGGCCAGTGACCAACGCTCACCTCCACGAGCAGATGGACGGCAGCGACAGCTCTGCAGGGAGAGAATGTGGGAGGGCCTGGACTTGGCATGATAACGCGAGGTCCCTGGAGGTCCCCATGCCCTTGCCCACCCCCAGCCCTCTTCTGTGCATCTGGCGTGGGGTGGGGGCTGGATTCTGAACTTTAAAATACTGAGATTGCTTCAAGTTGAAAACACTTTTACAGGACAGGCAACTATGCTTTAAAACGTACTTTTTTTGAGACAGAGTCTCAATCTGTTGCCCCGGCTGGAGTGCATTGGTGCGATCCGTGCTTGTTGCAACCACCTCCCAGGTTCAACAGGTCCTCTTGCCTCAGCTACCCAAGGAGGTGGGATTGCAGGCATGCACCACCACACCTGGCTAACTTTTTTATTTTTAGAGACAGGCATTCACTACGTTGGCCAGGCTGGTTTTGAACTTCTGGGCTCAAGTGATCCACCCTCCTTGGCCTCCTGCAGCGCTGGGATGACAGGCATGAGCCACCGCGCCCAGCCTGCTTCACATCTTTACAGGTCACCTCTGTGAGCCTGAGGTCTTTCTGTCCGTGACACAGGTGGGTGGACTGGATCGGTGAAGAAAAGGTCACCTCACAGATCCAAGGTGTCTGTGGTGACCCTATGAAGAGCATCGGAGGTAGGGGTCTTTGGTCCCAAGTAACAGAAACCTGCCCACGCTGATGAAGCGAGGAAAAGAGAGGTGCATGGACCCACAGAACCAGGAAGTCCCAAAGTGGATCTACTGTGAAGGGGTGCAGAGACTCAGCAGTATGTGTACACATGTGTGCCTGTGTGTGCCTGTGTGTGCATGCGTGTGTGCTTTTCGTGGGCATGCATGCATGTGTACATATGTGTATGTGTGTATGCATGTTTGTGCACGTGTGTGTGCTTTGTTCATGGATGTGCGTGCATGTGTGTGCTTTTGTTCATGGGTGTGCATGTGTGTGTTCATGTGTGCATGTTTGCACATACTGTGTGCTCTGTTCATGTGTGTGCATGCATGTTTATGCACGTGTGCATGAGCGTGTGAAGCCCAGGACCCAGTGAGGCCTCTGGACACAGGCTTCCTAGGGAGTTAGTTGTGTTGCCTGGAGCAAACCCCTGCAGGAGAGTTTTTCTGTGTTTGCTTCAGAGAACGGAAACATCTCAGATACAGTGGGGCCCCTTCAGTCTCACGACCCTCCTCCCCACCCTCCTTTCCCGAGGTTGGTAGGGATCCCACATGCCTGTATTTCTTCTGCTACAGTGGAAGGCACTGTAGGAGCCGTCTGTTGCCACCTTCTGTCTAACATTTGTCCGGAGAGGCTTTATACGGCGCAGACCCTCAGCTGCCTCTCTCCTCATGCCCTGCATGTTTCCAGGATCCTCCCGGCTGACGGAGGTATACCTGCTGCTCCCGGATTCACTGCAGGATGCAACTCTCGGGTGTAGCCCTGTCGCAACTGGTTTCTTTCCTTCCTCGATAAACGCTGGGGCAGGGACCTCTGCCCACAGCTACGCCTGGCATGGCCAGACAGCCTCCACAGCATGGTCACACCCGTTCACTCTCCTCCCACCTGCGTTTGAGACTGGGGGACTTATTTCTACTCAAAACAGGGTGGGCAGGGGACCTGCAGTGACGAATGACGGAGAAGAGGAAGGATCCCACCCGGAGCAGGAGCTGAGGCACGGACACCCCACGCTTGCACCGGCGTGGGGATGCCTGGGAGGAAAAGCCAGGCCGGCAGCCCGTCCCATCCAGTCTCCCAGCCCGGAAAGGCTCGATACTTCCAGTGCAGGCTTCCAGGGACTTTTTAAACATTTTTAAAAGTAAAATTTAGCCTGAGATTCCTGACACCTTGAAGGTCCATGAAAGAGATCCATGGGCCTGACAGCCTGGGTGCAGGAGACTCTGTGATCTTGCCCACACTTGTGGAAGATGGTTGTCAGCTCTTGTTGGGTTTTTAGGAGCTGGGAACTCTGAAAGTAAGTATCGGTGTGTTAGCTCAGGGCTCTTTCTGTTATGAATGACAAAATAATAACAATAATAAATAAATCCAACCTAAACTGGCTTGAGTGAGAACGGAGAACAAATAGAAACGATTGGCTCACATAAGCAAAAGGTCCAGGAGTACCGGGGCTTGCCAGCCACACCAGAAAACAGGGTCTCAAAGGCTTCATTGCCAGGCGAGCGCCCTCCACCTGGGACCCTCCGAGCAGCTCCGCACGCCACGCAGCAGAAACTGCTGTCCCTCAGTCCCTCCAGCAGAAGCCCTGGAGTCCAGTAAACCCATGTAGGTCATGTACCCGTTCGTGAACAATCCCCCTCACAGAAAACTGGGATGAGCAGGTGGGCTCCGGCCCGGTGCCACGCCCACCCCTGGCCTGGGGGATCCTGAGTCACCTGCCCCCACGTGGCTAGGCATGGGAAGTGCGAGTCCCCACCAGAAACGCACACGATTCTCTGCAGGATACAGTACAGTGGAGCAGGACGGGGCATTGGACATCCCTTGTATTCTGGAAGAGGCCCACTCCTGAACCTCAGGCTAAGCTCTTGGGTAGTTTGCTGTGGCCAGCCTGGATGAGGCCTGGTGACCCTGGTACACTGTCTGCAGGCATATGCTGGGAGGGGGGGTGGCAGTGCCGTCTGTCGTGGGCTGGATTGGGTCCCCCCACCCCAGAAGTATGTTAAAGTTTTGGAAGTCCTAACCTTATGGATACGCCCTTACTGGGAAATAGGGTGTTTGCAGATCGAGTTAAGATGAAGTCATGCTGGACTGGGGGATCCTAAATCCAATGACAGCTGTCCTTAGAAGAAAAAGCAGAGAGGGATTTGCAGGCACCAGGGAGATGTCCTGGAGACAACACAGGCAGAGACGGGGGTGATGTGGCTGAAGCAAAGCAATGCTAGGAAGCACCAGGAGCTGGAAGAGGCCAGGCAGCCCCTCTGGAGCCCGCATAGAGCGTGCCCTGACAATGCCTTGACAAAGGGCCCCCAGGACCATGGGGAACACATCTCTGTTGTTCTAGCCCCCCAGTGTGGGGCCGTTTGTCACAACGGCCCCAGGACACTGTCACACCCTCTGTCCAGTCGTGCCGTTGGCTCGGACCAGGCGGCGCACCCAGGCACCCCGATGCAGGTGCACCATCACCCTGGCTCATATCCCTCACAGCCGCAGACACTGGCTCCTCCACACCCATGACGATCCCAACCTGGGGTTTTCCAAAAAGGCCACGAGGAGGTTTGAGGAAGTCATGGCCCCAGTGGCTGGGAAAGTCCTCTGGGCAGCCTCATGACTCTGCTTCCCAGGTGACCCCAGAGAGTCTGAAGACGTGTCCTCCCCCAAATCCCCAGGAGGCTCCTGATCAAAGGGAAAACCCCAGGGACCCCCCTCCAGCCCAGCACACCCACTGCTTGTGTGGGACTCCTGGACAGAACCAGAAGCCTACACAGCCATCAGCCAGGAAGCCCAGACATAGAATGACTGCCTGAGTCCCCTGCTGGCGAAAGCCTCTGACCACACATGGTCACCTGCAGTTGGCACTCTCTGGTATCTGGACATGCCTTGTCTCAGCATCCAGTGGAGGAGCCAAGCCACAGCCATTCCTGGCCAAGCTGGCCTCAAGGGCTCGCACCCCCTGAGCTCAACTCCTATCTGAAGTCTGCTGTCAGCCAGGCTCTGGAGGTAGACAGACCTGAGTCTGAATCCTGGTTCTATCAGGACTGGCTGTTTTCCAAAGGCATACACTCTTTGGAAGTTGTTGGGCCTTTCTTGGTGTCTCCACCTGGAACAGAAAACCATACTTCCTGTCTCTTAGGCTTGTAGGAAGAGCTGAGGTGATGTACAACATAGGTGCTAGCGTGATTGTATGAGTACAAGGCATTCAGTAAGTGCTGACTGAATGCCTGCTACGTGCCAGACAACATCCCAGGAGCAAGGTACAGGAGAAACAGACACCATTGTCTTTACGCTATGAAGATGACAGATGATGGTGATGTTGAAGATGAAGCTAAGACCACAGGATCCTCCTGAAGATGAACCGTATCTCACATTTGCTGTCCTCCTCAGCGTGTAGCACAGTGCTTTGCACATAGTAGGTACTCAAGAAACGTGTGTCGATGGACTTATCCTTCTTCAAGTTGCTTTCAGCAAAGGAGAACCCTCTGCCCAGAGTAGCTCCAGCTGGCCTGCATGCAAAGTTCTTTGAATCTGTGTATTTTGAGATTGACTTGGGCTTTTTACTTCATTCCACTGTATATCCACGTTTGTTTTACTTATAAACAACAAGAACTTTTTTCCAAAACTTTGAGTGAAAATAATGCCCCATGAAAACATGGCTTGTTTATATCTGTGGCTTTTGAGACACTAACCACCCCCACACACTCACTGACCCTCCCACCCCTAACCCCGCAGGCCGCCACCGCATGTGTCTGGAGGTTCACAGAGCCCGGGGCCAGATGCACAAACCCAGGCTGCTAAGCTGCTCTGGAAAAAACACTTCTCTCTCCCAGTGGTGCTGGGCTGCAGCGAGCCTTTGAAAGCAGGGGTCTCTCCTGCCAGCTCAAGTGTCTCTCTGCAATCTGAAGAGACAAGGCCTGGACGCCAGCACTGGATTCTTAGAGCCAAAAGCACATCCAAATAAGAAGGCCCTGAAAAGGTCTCTGGAAACTTGGCTTGCCCTTTAAAACCGGGTGTTTCCAGCACAGGGGCCACATCATGGGGCTGAACAGCCGCTGGATGGCTTGGACGCCGCGGCGTGGGTTCTGGTATCACCCCCGCCAGGCAGTCGGCAAGGGGCCAGCACCTTAGTGAGCCAGCACGATGTGCAGCCAGCACCCTGGGGTCTGCTCTGGAATCCTCGCAACTCCCAGGTGCCAGAAGTTCTCTGATTAGGCCCCTTCCCAATGGTAGGAGCAAGCAGGAAGTGGGCAGGGCCCTCACCCAGGAAGTGGGGCAGCCCAGAGCTCCGTGCAGAGCGGGGCCCATTGTGGCCCCCACCGCCTGCCCTGCAGCACCCAACCTCTCTGCCAATTCCCTGAGTTTCTATTCCCGGTTCCTAAAGTGAGGCCTTTCTTTACTCGACTGCCGAGATGCGTTCCACTCTGTTACCCACGCTCATCTTCAGAAGACTGGGAGTGGAAGGCGCAGCACGGATCATTTGATAACAACACGTGCTCACAAGTAAATTGAAATTTACTGCGCAGATGAGAATGCTCTGGCTGGGCCCAGAGATGGATGCCCCGTCCTTCCCCTGGCAGAAGCATGGCAGAGATGAGGAGACAGGTGTGGGTAAAGCCCACCCATCTCATTTTCTCCCTCTTAAGTCAGGAGGGAGCCCTGCAGCCCGACCATGTGGATTGTGCCTCTCACGCCAAGGAGACTTGGTCTGCTTCCGAGGGTGCGCAGTGCCAAGAAGCCTGTACGGCCGGTGCGTCTTTGGGAGACGTAACTTGTGGAATTTATGGGAATACTTTTATTTCTGTGTTAAACACAGCAGTGCTATGGAGCAAAATGGGAAATTTCCATGAATTTTCAAGATGAAGCACAAGATTTTTAAAGGAATTTGACATGCGTGGTAGGACAATTGGGTCACTGCCTGGTAAGCCAGAGGGCGCAGGCTCCCCCTCCTGCTTTTCAGCAGGTGGTCTCAGAAGAGCGGTTAATGGGGGAAGCGCAGCAGCCGCCCGGTCTCCAGGACAAGCGCGGGGCCCTGGCGCCACCTGGTGCTCACACGGGATATGACCGTCAGCTCCGCGCCGCAGGCTGGGAAGGTGGCCCGGATTCAAACGTGGACAGGTGGGTAGAGTCTAAGGGGAGGGGCTGCTGTGTGGAGGGCAACCTTGCCTTACGGACCTTCCCCTCTGCGACCCCTGCCAGCCTTTTTCAGAAGTGGGGCCCCATCCTTTATGAAGGGGTTCCTTTGGCCTCAAGGTGCTCACCTGTGGGCCTGTTAAGCTCAGGTCCCTTCCCCTGGAGATTCTGATTCAGTAGCTCGGGGTTGAGGCCAAGAGATTTGTGTTTTCAACCAGTTTCCCAAGTGACTTTCTTGATCAGGCAATGTGGGATGCAGGGTTGAACCTGCATTAGAATCACCTGAAGAAACTGGAAACTATAGATGTGTCTGGCATGAGCGCCTTGAAGCAGTTGCCCAAGTGATTCAAATGTGCAGCCTTCATTGAGAAACGCTGGAGTGAAGGCCTTGGGCCAACAGGCTGTTGTTTTGTTTTGCGACAAAATATTGCTCTGTCACCCAGGCTGGAGTGCCGCAGCGCAACCTTGGCTCACTGCAACCTCGCCTCCGGAGTTCAATGGTTCTCCTGCCTCAGCTTCCCGAGTAGCTGGGATTACAGGCACCCACCACCACACCCTGCTACGTTTTGTATTTTCAGTAGACATGGGGTTTCGCCATGTTGGCCAGGCTGGTCTCAAACGCCTGACCTCAAGAGATTGTCCCACCTCGACCTCCCAAAGTGATGAGATTACAGGCATGAGCCACCACACCCAGCCTGGGAATGGGATTTTGATTTTTTTTTTTTTTTTTTTTTTTTTTTTTTTTTTTTTTTTTTTTTTTTTTTTTTGAGATGGAGTCTTGCTCTGTCGCCAGGCTGGAATGCAGTGGCACGATCTTAGCTCACTGCAACCTCTCCCTCCTGGGTTCAAGCGATTCTTCTGCCTCAACCTCCTGAGTAGCTGGGACTACAGGCGCCTGCCACCATGCCTGGCTAATTTTTTGTATTTTAGTAAAGATGGAGTTTCACCATGGCCAGGATGATCTCAATCTCCTGACCTCCCAAAGTGCTGGGATTACAGGTGCGAGTCACCGCACCAGCCTGGGAATGGCATTCCTAACATGCATCCCAAAATGAGGTGCTGGCCACAGCACAGGTCTAGGAGTGGCTCACCAGGTAATTGGATAGTTGGAGACTAGTGGACGTCTGAGTTAGCTGCTTTCACTGTTGATGTTTGGTTAGGTTTGGAGTGGTGGCAAAGGGGCAAAAGGTGAGGAAGCTATTTGAAAAGACCCTTAGAGGCTGCCCCAGGCCTGCGGTTTGCACGTGCTTGTTGATTCAGTAAATACCATGGGCTCGGCGCTCACAAGTACCCCACTGGATTGGACTGACTGAATTCTGGTGTACGCTGATGAAATTCCTATCCCAGCTCTACCTTTATTGGCTGTCTGGCCTTGTGCAAGTCACTTAACCTTTCTGTGCTCCTGACCCTTAACTTGTAAAATGGGGATAGTAACCCCAAGGGCTCTGGTGAGGAGGTGGTGCATGCAAGGCAGCGTGGCGGGGCTCACGTCAGGCCTGGCGAGTCAGCAACCCTGCACTTACCCCTGTGCCAGGTGACCTCAAGAATAAAGTCCTGGCCAGGCACAGTGGCTCCAGTATGTCATCTAATCACTTTGGGAGGCTGAGGCAGGCATATCACCTGAGGTTGGGAGTTCCAGACCAGCCTGACCAACTTGGAGAAACCCCATCTCTACTAAAAATATAAAATTAGTCGGGCCTGGTAGCAGGCTGAGGCAGGAGAATTGCTTGAACCTGAGAGGTGGAGTTGCATTCCAGCCTGGGCAACAAGAGTGAAACTGTCTCAAAAAAAAAAGAAAGAAAGAAAGAAATGAAGTCCTGGTGCACTGTGAGTTAGGGCCAAGCAATGCCAGATGCTACATGCAACTGAAGCTGGGGAAAGACACATTTTTCCAGCATTGTAAGCCTGCAGCAGACCCTTATAAACAGTGTGCTTGCTTTCAGGAGCTGTGCCAAGTCAGCGTCTGTGCAAAGAATTCTTGGTGGTGAAATTATGTTTCCAGGCTGTAGGGCTGTCACCTGCTGTAAGACATTCCTGCTGGCCACGACCCTGCAGAAGGCAGAGCCCGGCAGCTGGAGGAGAGGGAATCACGGCAGCCGCCCAGTGAGTAATGTGTTTGTCCAGAGCCATCCTGCAAGTCCCCTGCCTGTAGGCCAAGTGCCACTGCAAGAAGAGATGCAGCTGGGCATGGTGGCTCATGCCTGTAATCCCAGCACCTTGGGAGGCCGAGGCGGGCTGATCTCTTTAGGTCGGGAGTTTGAGACCAGCCTGACCAACATGGTAAAACGCTGTCTCTACTAAAAATACAAAAATTAGCCAGGCGTGGTGGCGCATACCTGTAATTGTAGCTACTGAAGAGGCTGAGGCAGGAGAATAGCTTGAACTAGGGAGGTGGAGCTTGCAGTGAGCCGAGATCGTGCCACTGCACTCCAGCCTGGGCAACAGAATGAGACTGTCTCAAAAAGAGAGAGGGCTCGGGAGAGAGATGCATGTCTCAGAAAAAAAAAAAGAGAGAGAGAAAGAAGAGATGCGTGTGTCCCTGCCTCGCTCTCTGGGCTGGAGGAAGCTTCAAGGAGAAGGAAGTTCACTGAGCCGCGGGACCAGTTTCTGGACCTCGCCGCTCTACAAACAGGACGGGTTTTGTCTCTGTGCGCCCTCTGCTGTCCAGAGCTGAGAATGCAGCCCAGAGAAATGCAAGTCTAACTCAAGGTGCATGTCCCAGTGCCTCCCATCGCTGAGGTTTGAGATGCCTGCAAGCTGGAAACAACGCTTTAAAAGGCGTCTGAGGCTGGGCGTGGTGGCTCACACCTGTAATCCCAGCACCTTGAGAGGCTGAGGCAGGTGGATCAGTCCAGCCAACATGGCGGAACCCCGTCTCTACTAAAAATTAAAAATTAGCCAGATGTGGTGGTGTGCTCCTTGGGAGGCTGAGGCAGGAGAATTGCTTGAACCTGGGAGGTGGAGGTTGTGGTGAGCCGAGATCGCTCCAAAGAACTGAAAGTAGAGACTCCCACAGATACCTGCGTACCTGTGTTCTTAGCAGCGTGATTTGCCAAAAGGCAGAAACAACCCAATTTCCATTGACAGATAGATGGACAAACGAAATGTGGTTTGTCTGTTCAATGCAGTGTTATTTAGCCTTGAAAAGGAAGGAAATTTGGACACATGCTACAACATGGATGAATCCGTTAGACAACATGCTAGGTGAAATAAGCCACACAACAAAAGGCCACACACTGTGTGAATCCGCTCATCTGTGGTCCCTAGAATAGGCAAATTCATGGAGACAGAAAGCAGAATGGGGATGGGAGGGGAAAGGGGGAGTGAGTGTTTGGTGGCGACAGAGTTTCGGTTTGGAAGATGAAGACGTTCTGGGAAAAGTGGCGATAGTTGCACGCGATGGAACGCAGAATGTCCACAGTGCCTGAGAGCTGTGTGCTTCAAAACAGCTACCCTGACACCTTCAGTAGGAAATAAGACAGAACAGCTTCTTAAAGGTAAACATGGCCAGGCTCAGTGACACACGCCTATAATCTCAGCACTTTGGGAGGCTGAGGTGGGCAGATCACTTGAGGTCAGAAGTTCAAGACCTTCCTAGCCAACATGGTGAAACCCACCTCTACTAAAAAAAAAAGAATACAAAACTTAGCCAGGTGTGGCGGCATGCACCTGTAATCACAGCTACTTAGGAGGCTGAGGCACATGAAATCGCTTGAACCTGGGAGGCAGAGGCTGCAGTGAGCTGAGATCAGACCACTGCACTCCAGCCTGGGTGACAGTGTCAAAAAAAGAAAAGAAAAAAAAAAAAGGCATAGCTGACACTTTTAGGAACAGAAATGGATCATGTTGAAGACAAATCATCCAGCAAGTTTGTGTTCAGTAACCCAAACATCAAAGGAACTCATGACCCTGGAGAAAGCTGTGACATTTGAAACCTCAGGACTCCTCTGACCATGAGCTCCAGGAACACTCGCAGAGGCCCTGGGGCTCGCTGAAGAAATCATGTGATTGCTGCATGTTTCATGCATGCTGCCTTGTCAGGAAAATTAAGCGATGCATTTGAAAATGAAAAAAAAAATGGCTAAAGTGGCAAATTCTATTTCATGTGTATTTTGCCACAATTTGAAAAATGGATGTTTTTTACAAAATAATGTACTGCATCTGGTGGGATGGAGCACCATCTTCTCAGAGTGTTGGCGCTCACTGGCCTGTCGCAGAGTGTTGGGATGACCATTTCACCTGGGCAGCTGCTTCTGGTGAGGGCAAGGGCAAGGCCAGTGGCGACCTCACCACTGAGGGTTGAGCTCTAATCCTTAACACTCTGGCTGTGAAGGGAGCTTCTTGAGCAGAGCAATGTGTGAGATGTGCAGACAGCAAACAAGGCATACACGGTGCAGTTTTAGAAAAGGCAACTCCATTTCCAGAATATGGGTCTATTCTTGGGGGACAAATCTCTGCCCCTCCCCTGAAGGAAGAGGTCTAATGTCACCCACCTGCCACGGAGTGGCTGCCTAGTGCCCCCCATTTAGCTGCCGTATTAGGGCTGGGGTTTGCAGATTAGGCCCTCAACAGCAGTCCCTGGCAGGAGCCCTGGGGAGAGGAAGCTGTGGGGAGGCAGTCCATTGCATGGCAAGAGTGATGCCATGTGGGAGCACAACTGCTACGAAGGTCTTTTTTTTTTTTTTTTTTTTGAGACGGAGTTTCACTCTTGTTACCCAGGCTGGAGTGCAATGGCGTGATCTCAGCTCACTGCAACCTCCACCTCCTGGGTTCAGGCAATTCTCCTGCCTCAACCTCCTGAGTAGCTGGGATTACAGGCACGCACCACCATGCCCAGCTAATGTTTTGTATTTTTAGTAGAGATGGGGTTTCACCATGTTGACCAGGATGGTCTTGATCTCTTGACTTCGTGATCCACCCACCTTGGCCTCCCAAAGTGCTGGGATTACAGGCTTGAGCCACCGTGCCCAGCAGGAAGGTCTTTAAACAACGCCATCAGCACTCATAACCCCTCCCAAAGATGCTTATCTAACCTCCCCCGTGGCCATAAGTTTTGGCAAGAAAGTCTCATGATCAGCTGCCCATGTCTTTACCTTAAACGCTTGCCCTATAAAGGTTACTTTCTGGAAGGCAGGTATGGGGATCCACTGTCTCATTGCAGTCGATTCGTAAGTCCCTATTTCTGATTTCTGTACCTGGCCCACACCTGTACTTTCAACACTTTGAGAGGCTGAGGTGGGAGGATTGCTTGAAGCCAGGAGCTCAAGACCAGCCTGAGCAGCATAGCCAGACGCTGTCTGCACACAAAAAATTTAAAGATTAGCCCGGCGTGGTGGCACATGCCTGTAGTCCCAGCTACTCAGGGAGCTGAGGCGGGAAGATGGTCTGAGCCCAGGAGGTCGAGGCTGAATTAGCTATGATTGCACCACTGCACTCCAGCCTGGGGGACAGAGCGAGATCCTGTCTCTAAAAACATAATTATTATAATTAATTAATTATTTCTGAGAAACTGACTTTGTCAGTCTCTTTCTTTGGGCTCCCTCAGCCCTTGGGGGTGGGTCTGCACAGACCTGCTCCCTGCAGAATAATAACCCCTGTCGCCGGGCCACGCAGTGCCTCCATCCCTGTGCCGAGGTTCCTTCTCCACAGCCCCAGCTTGTGTTCCCTGCTCTTGTTCCAAGCCCTGCTCATGCTCTCCTGCTGCTTTGCCTGTCCCTCCACCCGGGATTTCAATCCATGACGATGCAAATTCTTCATTGCAGCCCAAACTCACTTTCCCACACTTCTGGAAGGAGGCGGGGCTCAGGATAGCTTCTCTACTCACAAGAGCTCCCACAAGGGTTGTTTTCATTTGAGGTTCAAAAGCGTGGACCTGGCCTCTGGGATTTCAGGCTCTCTTCACTTTCTCCTCTAGAATCTGGATCTTGACTGTACTTTCTTTGCCTGTCCTGGTCGGTCCCCTTTCACTCCCAGCAGTTTCTCTGCAGCGTGGGTCCCCACCCCAGACAGCAGCCCAGGAGGGTGGGTGTAGAAAGTGCACCAGCCCCTTTGGGACCCACTGAGGAGACCTGCAATCATCTGTTTCTTCGTGGGGTGGCCTCCCAGCTTCATGGGAGGGTCACCGTGCTTCCCAGGGAGTGCCCTGCTGCTGTATCCCAGGCCCACCCGCTGTCCGCCAGGTTCATCTGCTGTCCCCTTGCTTCCCTTTGCATCCTGCTGCACCAAGGCAGATGCTGTGCCAGGCTGTGGCACAGGTGACTTGTCCCCACCCATTTGCATTCTGCAGATCATGGGGGGTTTGTGGGATATCTCCTCACCTCATATTGTCCAATGGGTTTATGGTTTTGCTATCTAGTTACTCCATCTTTTTTTTTTTTTTTTTGAGACGGAGTTTTACTCATGTTACCCAGGCTGGAGTGCAATGGCGCGATCCCGGCTCACCGCAACATCCACCTCCTGGGTTCAGGCAATTCTCCTGCCTCAGCCTCCTGAGTAGCTGGGATTACAGGCATGCACCACCATGCCCAGCTAATTTTTTGTATTTTTAGTAGAGACAGGGTTTCACCATGCTGACCAGGATGGTCTCGATCTCTTGACCTCGTGATCCACCCGCCTCGGCCTCCCAAAGTGCTGGGATTACAGGCATGAGCCACCACGCCCGGCTAGTTACTCCATCTTTACGTGCAGATTCAGGGAAATTCACACACTCTGCCACCATCCCTGAACCCCCTCCCCTCTATGTTTTAAACCAATTGGCCACTGTTTTTACTGCAGTGTTCATCCAGTGCTTGAGCAACTTTGCCTTCATGGTTTTCAGCTCCTTTGCTCGCCATTTCTCCGGGCATCTCACTCCTCTTTGAGTTCAATTTTCTTCTTGCTGGGCCACATCCTTTAGCACTCTTCTCCACAACGGCTTGGTAGTGGTAGACACTCTCCATCTTTGCCTGGAAATATCTTTATTTTTTTCTCTCCTCTTGGTTAAGAGCTTAGCTGGTACTGTCAATCTAGAGGAAAGCACTGCTCCCTTATCTTCCAGCTTCAAGGATGGCTTTTAATATGTCTGCTGTTGTCTTGCCCTATATAGGTAATCCTTCTTTTTTAAGTGGTTTTTTTTTATGAGACAGGGTCTTGCTATATTGCCCAGGCTGGTCTCAAAACTGCTGGCCTTGGCTGGGCACAGTGGCTCACACCTGTAATCCCAGCACTGTGGGAGGCCAGGGTGGGTAGATCACCTTAGGTCAGGAGCACAAGAGCAGCCTGGCCAACATGGCAAAACCCTATCTCTACTAAAAAAAACAAAAATTAGCCAGGTGTGGTAGTGTGCACCTGTAATCTCAGCTACTGGGGTGGCTAAGGCAGGAAAATAGCTTGAACCCAGGAGGTGGAGGCTGCAGCGAGCCAAGATCACACCACTGCACTCCAGCCAGGGCAAGAGAGCGAAAAAAAATCAAAAAAAAAAAAAAAAAAACTGCTGGCCTCAAGCAGCCCTCCCACCTCAGCCTCACAAGTAGCTGGGATTACAGGCACAGCCACCATGCCTGGCCATGGTTTTATATTCTGGAAGGTAGAAAACTGTCAGCTGGGAAGAAGGTAAGCAGAGTTAAGAAGGAAGACGAGTCACAAAGAGGGACAACGTATCTTAAATTGCAAGGGGCTCTCCAAGTTTAGGCTGAGGGACGGGGTCTCTCATGGCCCCACGTGGAGATGCAGTGTCTGGACGGGTCAGGAGCCTCATCTCTGAGGCACCTTCCTTTGAGGCCTGGGCCTGGGGAGACAGGGGCTCCTCCAGCCTCCAGTGAGCTAAGCTCAGAGTCCTCCTGCTCCAATTTCATGCCTTGATAAAGAGCCTTGATAGTCTCCCTGAGCACCCTGGGAGGGGCGGTCTCGGGGTGAAATGAGACCCCACGCATCACCCAGAAAGAGCTCGGTCCTCCTCCTCCTGTGTCCCGCAGTCCATGTGCCCTGGCATCTGAGTGCTCCTGCCTGGCCCCCACCCTGCCTCCCCCCACAGTGGTTCTGCCTGGTGGTTGCCTTGCTGTCCTTTGAACACACCCCGCCCCCTTGCACCTCCCGCATTGCACCTGCCATGCCTGCTGGGTGCTGTGTCCACCTGCCAGCTCGACCTCCCCTCGGGTTTCAGCATGAGTGTCTCATCTCATCTTCACGTCTCAGCTGAAATGTCCTCTTCAGTGACAGCTGCCCAACCAACCCCCACCCATAGCCTTCTCTCCCTGCACCCCTTCCCTCAGCCCTGCTGGATCCTCTCCTCTGTGCCTTTGTTTCACTTGCTGTCTGCCTCCCTGTAAGCCTGGGAAGGAGAAGGCCTGGGGTCGAGTCAGGATCACATCACCATGGCATGTGGGTCGTGACTCATGAAGGGCTGTGAGCAGAACCCAGTCATGAACCCTTGCGGCCTCCCAAATTCCCACTAAAATGGCAGTAATGGGATTTTTATTTTTTTCAGCATGAGGACAAGGAGATCAGGGTGGACAGTCACGTTTTGGAAACTGAATCCAATGGCCAAATGGCAGCTCTCTTAGCAAGGTCGAGAGCACGGGTTCCTAAGCAGGAGGAGGGAAAGGCCAGGAAGAGCCTGACTGTTCTCAAGCGGACTCACTCAGAGCCACTCCAGGCTAAAAGCAGAGGACTCGTGCAGCAGGCCCAATCCCAGGCAGATACCTCTGCCTCCATCCTGGGGTGACAGCTCCTTCCTCCCTGCCTGTCCTGAGGGCGATGCAGATGGGGATGAGCCTGGCCTGCTCCCTGGCTCAGGGCAGGTGGCTGTGGCTCCACCAGTGCTCGCTGAAGGGTCAGCAAAGCTAGGCAAAGGGTGGGGGCCCAGGTCAAGCACTTCAGCCACCACCCCCCACCCCCAGGAGCCCACCCTCAGGGAAGGAGCTAAAAATGGCATCCCCCAGAGGGCGGTTGTGGGCTTTTGTAGTTAGGCCATCAAGGGGCTCACACTAGTCCCCTCGGCAAGACTTCACAAGGCCCTGTAGCACCCCCACCGCCCCCCATCCCACTCTCCCAGGCGGCTCAGCTGGCCCTTGGAGAACATGGGATCAAGGGTGTTTCCATGGCCGTGGAAGAGACGCTTGATTGGGGTGTATTTGACCTGCTCTTGATTTTGAACTCAGCTCAAACTTTCCAGCCAGCCAAGGTCCTTGTCCTGTGCACTTCCTCTCGTCAAGCTCTAAGGGCCCCATTTCCCTTCCTGGCTACAGCTGGGCTTCTCCGAGCCACTCTCTCCGCTGGCCTCATTCCCACCCAGCAGTGCTGGCAGGACAACCCTCTCTGCCAGCCGTCACTGCTACTCCTGGTACACATGCTACGTTGAGATTTGTTCTCTTCTCCAGACAGGGTCTCCAGTTCGGGAATTGGTGCTTGGATGGGACAGGTAACAAGATGAGTCCTGGAGGGAGCGTGCCAGGGACCAGGACAATGCTGGTAAGACCACCTTATTTGACATTGGCTTTGTGACTACGTTTTAGATCAAAGAGCTGAGAGTAGCCAGGCAGCCGAGTAGGCTACAAACAGGCCAAAGCAGGCGGGGCCAGCACCCACAACCCGGTCAGAGCTCAGAGTGGGGCTGTTCACCCCAACAATGTGTCAGCTGCAGGGAGGGAGGGACAGCCCCAGAAGAATAGTGGGGCCAGCACCCACAACTCGGTCAGAGCTCAGAGTGGGGCTGTTCACCCCAACAACGTGTCAGCTGCAGGGAAGGAGGGACAGCCCCAGAAGAAAAGTGGTTCATAGGCTGGGCGCAGTGGCTCACGCCTGTAATCCTAGAACTTGGAGAGGCCAAGGCGGGCAGGTCACCTGAGGTCAGGAGTTCAAGACCAGCGGGGCCAACATGGCAAAACCCAGTCTCTACTAAAAAATATAAAAATTAATTGGGCATGGTGACGGCCACCTGTAATCCCAGCTACTCAGGAGGCCGAGGCAGGAGAATCACTTGAACTGGGGCGGTGGAGGTCGCAGCGAACTGAGATCACACCACCGCACTCCAGCCTGGGTGACAAAAGCGAGACTCCTCACCAAAAAAAAAAAAAAAATTTGTGTGTGGTAACTTCCGCCGGTGTGCCTACTATAATGGGATTTTACTCATATAAAGATCTCTTGCCAAAAACCTCAAATTCCCCACATCAAGGGATTCTATATTTTCAGTTTGTATGTGTCTCCTTATGCAATTTAAGACACTTGATTTTTGCCATTTCATTCATACCCAAAATATATTTACTCCAGACCCTTGGCAGAAACCTGCTGCTTTACTTGGCTTTCATGCAGGCATCATGAAAGACCCGATGACAAGGGTTTCAGGTAAACTGGTCATTTATTAGCAGTGGTACTGTTTGGCATAACGGGTTTCCAGTACAGAGGCATGGGGTCACATGGAGGTGACAGGGCCTGGCTCGGCACAGGACAGCATCTCTCATTTCTTCCACTCCTTCTTGTCGTAGTCCCACTTGGAGGCGAGGCCATCGATGGGGTTCACCTTCAGGTCCAGCATCCTCTTGGTCTGCATGGCCACCCACTCTTTGTCAAAGGTGTGCGGGATGGGGCCGTACACTACAGGGCGAGACGAGGCTCTAGGCAAGACTGTCCCAGCAGCTTCTTTCTAAGCCAATCCCTTCCAGGTGAAATCCTCCCGACACTGCAGCCACCAGGTCAGCAGAGCCACCTGCCACTCAACACCCGCTCACACACACGGTTTCTATTTCTGACCACTGACAACCACGGGGATTTAAAATTATCCCTCTGTTTGTAAAAAGTTAGCAATGGAGTAAGCTAAAAGCAGCAGGTCCTCTCTAAAGGCTATGGACAACAAGGTCTAACGAACAGCCCATGGTCACTTGGGAGATCAGACTCGGGTCTGTTACTAACCCACGTCCGCATTCAAACCAAAAGTACGAGAATATACCTATTCAGAATGCAAAAACACCTGTTCTGCCTGAACAGAAAGAACCAGGAAGAGTTGTTACAGTGAGTGCGCAACCCAGCAATGCCTAAACAGAAACTGTCAGGTCAGAAGCCCCCAAATCCCAGCAGTTGAGATGTGGTCCTCACAACAGTTGACATGTCATTAAATGACAGAGTCCCCTTCTTGCTCAAACCTTCACAAAGTCATCTTTCGGTAACTGCCTAGTGAGCGTATAACCACAAATGAAAATGTGGTATGCTGTACGACGTAGTTAAAGCATTTCACCACAAAACAAGTCTGCCCGACTACGAATAATCAGATGCTGGCTTATCAACTAACCCCCCATGACTTCAATTCTGCAGGTTGCCAAGGCCTGGAAACCAGTCCTGAGATGAGCTCTGGAATGGAGTCCCTATCTCATGGCCTCAAGGTGGGGGATCCCCCCACAGCCCCCCATTGGGTACTGCAGGCTGGAGCCCCAGTCCAGGCACCCCATGCTTTCCACCGTCTCTACTCACCATAGCGCTTCTCCAAGATGATAAGAATTGCTGTGAAGCCGATGAAGAACATGGCAGTACCCACAACCGTCTTCCACTCATTGGAGCCCCTGTTCATCTCAGCAAAGCTCTCCTTGAACTGAATACGATACACTGGGGGCAAAGAGGAGAGCCATTTACAGGCACAAAGAAGTGGGTCAGCAGCTCCCTCCTCTACAAGGTTCAACCACTTCTCCCTAAAACCACACTTGTGAAGGAGAAACCCAGAGGTAAAGGACACAGCAGCCTGGGCCACATCATGTTCACATGCGTGTGTCACACATGTGGCTGCACAGTCTTGTGACGGGCAAAGGAGGGAAGAGAATGCGTGGAGTTTGCTTTAGGTGGAAATTAAAACTGTGAAATTCTTTGTTATTTGAGTGACAGTGTTAGGGTCTATTTGATCTCGTTATTTTCACACCCCTCTCATACCAAGCAGTAAGCATTTTGCTGAGTTTCTTTCAGTAATTTCCAGTAAACAATGTCCTACCCAGCAGATATGCCAAGAGGCTAAATCCACCCAGCACAGAGAAGGGGGCCTAGCAAAAGAAGTCAGCTGGCAGAGGACGCAAACTGGGGCTGTGGGACAGTGACCCAGAAACCCGGCAGAGCAGCCCCACTGTGCAAGACTGCTCTCCAGACAGTCAGCCCAGAAGTGAGCAGAGGCTCTCGCACACACACACACGTCCGGGAGCTGCTGGGCTCGCCTGTGGGTCCCTTCAATACCCACACTCGACTTTCTCATCCATGGAGAGGCTGCTCCAGGAGGCCTTCTCCTTCTCCTTCAAGGCCTTCTGGCTGGCTGACAGGTGCCTGACATGGGCCACGTCAGGCAAGGGATAGTCACGCCGATCCACATAACTTGGGAGCGCATAGTCTTCACTCTTCACAACACTTCCTGAAAAACACATTGGATAAATCTTTGAATCCATGTAAGTTGAGAGTCACAAACAAGGTGATACTTCTGAAAACTGAAACAAACACACGTGTGCACACCCTGAAACCCTCAGTCATCTCAGGGGGTCACAGTCACTGTTTCAAACAGGTGCAGGACTGTGTTGGAGGGTGAACAGAGGCACTTTTCATCACTGCAAACAAAAACCCACCAGGGGCAACTGCTAATGAACCCTGGGGCCAAGGTGGCCGGGGGCGGGTCTTCCTACGTAAAGAGTTATCCCCTGCCCTGAACAGAAGACTGGACAAAATGAAGTCCCAACTGCAAGGGACTCAAACTACGAGGAAGAACAAAAACAGTAAAACACTCAAAGCGTTTCAAGTTCAGAAACAAAGACACGTGAACAGAACCACAACAGCACTGTTCAGGGAAAACCTGTGTCCAACCAGGACTGAGTGAGAAATCGTGCTGGCTCTGTGAAACGCGGATCATGGAGCCACTCACTCAGGGTGTTTACCAAGCACCCTCTACAGGCAAGGCAGGGCTTAAGGCATCTGGGCTCATCTGTGAACAAATCAAACATTCCTGCCCAGTGGCACTTAACATTCTAAGAGTGGCAAACAAACAATAAACATAATGTGCAAATCACATGTTTAGAAAAAAGTACTCTGGAGAAAGAAGAGAGCAGGAGGGCATTGGCAATGTGTGGATGGCAGGAACCAAGAGGCAAGGTCCACAGGACGAGGCAGACCTACAGCCTGAATGCGATGGCAGCGTGCACTCAGGAGCCACAGAACGAGGACAATGCTGTGTGCCTCCTTATGGAAATCAGGCACACATACACACACACTGACAAAGCAAGCCCCAAACTGTTACACAGAGGAGGCAGGTAGAACTTCGTGAGGATTTCTGCTCTATCTGCTTGTGATTTTAGTGCCTTCCAACTAGCAGGTATCACGAGGAAAGAAGTTCAGAAATCAGACAGCTAAGGAGTATCTTGGTTGTAGTGAGAGTCTTCCCCTGTTAAAGCATGTTTCTCACTTCTGTCCTACACCTGCAAGAACTCTGTTAGATACTGATCTGGAGGCCTTATGCCCTGCGACAATGCTTCCCCTCCATTAGCTCAGTCACAGTGATTCCCATCTCCCAAATCACCTTCATAGTAAATCACATTAAGCTTCAAGCAAAGTCACATATAGAGTTCTCTAGATGTTTATCTTAGCCATGCAAATGACTAGGGTACTTACAAACTTATACTTGACCTCATCCCAAAAATGAGGTGGGATATAAGGGACATGAGGTGGAAATGGCCGGAATTACTTTCTAGTTTTAAAGCCTTGATTCTATGAAGTGGTGTGTAAACTAAGAAGAACAGTTGTATACTGAATATTTTTATGAAGTTTAGCACCCCCAAAAGTTTCTAAAATTTAAAACACTCAGTTTACACATGAGAGTTATTAAAAACAGATGTAAATATGTGTGATGACAGTGTTCTAGAATCAAACATTCATTGTGGTACTAATGACAAAACTCAATGAATATACTAAAAACCACTGAAGCATACACTTTAAATGGGTGACTGTTACATGAATTACATCTCGTAAAGCTGTCGTAAACGCCATGACAGGAAGGCTGAGGGAAGAAATGCTGTTGTAATGATGTAAACCCTAAAAACCTTGAAGCAGGCAAACCTTAAAATTGCATCTTCCAGAATAAGAATAGTCAATTCCTGGTTTCAGGGGTTCTTCAGAGTTTCAGGCCTGGCCCCCAAGGAATGAAGGGAAAGGCAATGGTTAATATACCAAACATTTCTTTTAAAAATAGAGAAAAACAAGACTCCAGATTCTAATGAATGTCTGTCACTGCTTCCACATGGATGGGTTTCTGCTGAGCCTCCGCTGGGGAGATCTGGTACATCTGGGCGCCCCTCACTCAGATGCATCACCATGCAAATATCCCAACTGACTTCAGTGATGGCTGATGGTATTCCAGACTGCTTTACTATCTTCTGCTGAGAACAGATTCATGTATTATTCATGTATGACTTGCATAAGTTAAAATTTAATAGGCAAGACTTGTCTAAGAGCCCGCAGTTCGTCTTCATCTGCCTCCCAAGTGCTGGAGATACAGCAATGAGTAAGACAGCAAGGTCCCTGGCCTCAAAAGGCTTATACTCTAAGAGGTGGAGACAGCGATACTCAAATAGACATGCATTCAGGAGGTATCCAGCAAGGTGAGGTGACAGGGAGCTTCCTGAGAAAGGGTGGTCAGGAGAGGCTGTTCTAAAAGCACATTTGTATTGAGGGTGAATGATCAGACAGGAGCCACCATCCACAGCTCGGAGCTCTGCTGGAGGAATGGAATAAGATCGGAGGCTAGGGCAGGAACAGGTGGGGAGGGGCAGTTCTGATGGCAAGTTTTGGTTTTTGAGTACATTATGAAGTAATGAATTGGAAAGGCAGGCAACACCAGCTCTAACCAGGCAGGGCATAGACTTTATTGAAGCAATGAAAAGACCATGGAGATTCTCCGCCAGAAGCCCTCCCTGAGCCCTGCATCGGGCTAAATGCTTCCACCCGGAGGCATCTCTTTACTGCCTTCATCCATCTGTCCCTCCTCAGGTTGCAAACAGCCTCATGGAAAGAGTGTGTATTTCATATTCTTTTCACTCTCCATGCCTAACAGTGCCCCGCACAAAGTAGACAGATGCCAGATGCATGCAAAACTTCCAAGCTCTTTCGTTTTCATTGCCGCTATGAACAGATGTGATGCAAATGGCTGGAAGTTGTGGGGGTGAGGTGGGGAGGGAGGTCATTAAGGTCAGTTCTGGTGCAGAAGATCTTTTGAAAGGGGTAGATTTTGAAGTTTAGAAAAGTGGAAAGGAAGAGAAGGATAAGGGGGGACATAGCAGTATAACCAGAGATCCAGAAGAGAATCAATCTGATTCATAAACATTACTTCATTTAGAGCCAAGCCTGTGAGAATATCTGTATCTCTGCTGAAGACCCCAAGAGCAGAATTAAGGTCTTTAAAACTCCAGCACAGGGCCTTATACACAGCAGGAGCAAAATGAAATTAGCTCAGCCTATTTAAAAGTGAGAAAAGTCACACTTACCATGTGCTCGTACACACACCGAGGTGGAAATTGCTCGCTTGCCAACTAGGCTAAATACCCTGGTAGCCAACATTCTGAAAGATAAAAAGGTACACCTTCTCTATGAATAACGGCAAACAGCAAGGAATGAGTCTTTTTTGCCCCAGAGCATCTTGGACCTAAATTCTTTTGTTTGCTTCTCCCCAACACAAATGATCCATTCTTTATTACTGACTCATCACAAAATAACCTAGGATGAGGTTTTTCTTAGTAGCTGGCATGCTTTTAAGGAGCTTCATTACAAATTAACTGCCGTAACATATAAGTGCTTCAGGCAATTAACACAACATTAGTCTTCTTAAAAAACAAGGAGGCTAGGCCGGGCGCGGTGGCTCAAGCCTGTAATCCCAGCACTTTGGGAGGCCGAGGCGGGTGGATCACGAGGTCAAGAGATCGAGACCATCCTGGTCAACATGGTGAAACCCTGTCTCTACTTCAAATACAAAAAATTAGCTGGGCATGGTGGTGCGTGCCTGTAATCCCAGCTACTCAGGAGGCTGAGGCAGGAGAATTGCCTGAACCCAGGAGGCGGAGGTTGCGGTGAGCCGAGATCGTGCCATTGCACTCTAGCCTGGGTAACAAGAGTGAAACTCCGTCTAAAAAAAAAAAAAAAAAAACAAGGAGGCTGGGTGTGGTGGCTCACACCTGTAATCCCAGCACTTTGGCAGGCCAAGGCAGACGGATCACCTGAGGTCAGGAGTTCGAGACCAGCCTGGGCAACGTGGGGAAAACCCGTTCTCTACTAAAAATACAAAAATTAGCTGAGCATGGTGGTGGGCACCTGTAATCCCAGCTACTTGGGAGGCTGAGAAAATCGCTTGAACCTGGGAGGTGGAAGTTACAGTGAGCCGAGACCATGCCATTGCACTCCAGCTTGGGCGACAAGAGCGACACTCTGTCTCAAAAAAAAAAAAAAAGCAAGGAGAAAAAATGTTAACAAGGTAGCTAGATATACAGCATCAAAGCACTGTACTGCCGTGACAAGCTCCGTTCTTCAGGGGTTGGTGGGAGGAGGTAACAGCTTACAGGGACGGTGACACACATCACATTCAATTGAGTATTTATTTAAAACCTAATACCGTATGTATACAGCCTAGAAGAGCAAATTGGAGAAGGCTGCCAGCCCACGCCGGTCTACTTCCAATCCCTGAAGACAGCGGATAACCTAGTTGACCCCCGCCTCTCCAGGGCCCTCCTCGATTCAGGCCCATCTACCTTACAAGGCCCCTTTTAAATCGGCCCTTCGGAGGACTGGGGAGAGTGATTTGGGAAAATACCGTCCTTGGGGCAGAATAAACAAGCATGACGTCAGGGCTGAACGCTCGCGTCCAGGCTCTCTCCTCGGGCCTAGCCCTGGCGTGGGCAAACAACTGGCACCTTCCAGGCTGGGAAGCCCAGCGCCGCCCGCGAGCCCCGCAAAACCCGGGAGAGGCTGCAGGGACCGTTTGAAAGAGCAAGGGCGGAGAACACGGGCCCGCATCCCCGCAGCCGGCACCCTCGGCCAGCGGGCGCTCCAAGGTCAGAGCCCGAGGTCAGCTCGCAAACGCGGCGCGGCGGGGGAAGCCGGATCGGGCGCTTCGTAGCGGCCCGAAGGCCGTCGCGCAGCGGCCGCCAGAGCCTGGAGCCCCCGCGGGCCGGCTTCAATGTCACCCGGCTCGGAGCCCATCCCGTGCCTCCTGCCGGCACCGGGCGGCCGGGCTGCAGACGTGCAGACTCGATGGCTCCCGGCCCCCGACCCGGCCCGGCCTGGCGGCGCGGCACCGATCGCCCACTGCCTCACCTGCCGTCGCTGCCCGCCGCGACTGCCCTCTACGCCCGGTGTCCCGCGACCGGAAGAAAGCAAGGCCGCGCCGCGGAGCACCACGGGATCGAGGAAGACTCCGCCCGCACCCGGCCGCGCAGAGGTTTCAGTGGAGCGGAAAGAGGGGAGCGCCGCGAACGTCGTAAAATGCCGGGCCGGGTTGCTTTCCGACAGGCACTGGAGAGGCCGCTTTCCGGCGGCGCCGGGCGAGAAGCGCTAGTGTAGTCCGAGGCTGCGGCTTCCCAGGTCGCGAGTCGCTTTTCGGGGAGCCGAGGCCCAAGCGGGGCCGGGCCTCTTGGCCGGGACTGAGGGGCCCCCGCCAGCCCGCGGCCGCGCCATCAGTTGTCGTCGCCTCGTCCCGCTTCTCTGCTGAGGCGCCGCGCGGCCGGGCAGCAGGTCCAGGCCTCAGCCGCGTGCCCAGGGGCCTCCGGGGCCCTCCCGGGTCAGCATGCCCGGGGTGAAGCTGACGACCCAGGCCTACTGCAAGATGGTGCTGCACGGCGCCAAGTACCCGCACTGCGCCGTCAACGGGCTGCTGGTGGCGGAGAAGCAGAAGCCGCGTAAGGAGCACCTCCCCCTGGGCGGCCCGGGCGCGCACCACACCCTCTTCGTGGACTGCATCCCCCTCTTCCACGGCACCCTGGCCCTCGCCCCCATGCTGGAGGTGGCCCTCACCCTGGTAAGCGCGGAAAGGGCCCTTCCCCGCCCTTGCAGGCAGCCTGGCCTCCCCTCAGTCATCAGAGAGGAAGCTGGCCCAGCGGCCGCCCTCCAGCAGGATCCTAGGACCCGCTCCCTGGGGTCGCCGTGGCCGGGAATGGGGTCATCCACGGTGGCGCTTGGGTCTTGGCGCTGAAAAATAGCGTCTCGTAGTAGCGTCGTGAATGCTTTTAGAAGCGCTTTAAGACGACTAGTTATACATTAGCTTCCTGAAATCAGGAGCCTTTGTAGAAACAAGTCATCGTTAACTTGGTGAGGATTCGACAGAGTTTCCATTGAGGATTTCGAGTTGCAGAAAGTCTTCACGTTGTTGGGACGTTAAACGCTTAGCGTCTGGTTCTTCGCACCTTCACAGAGGCGTTTCCTTTCCTGGCAAAGTGTAAATGCTGTGGTTCTTGGCCGTCGGTCCTCGACCATCCCAGAGCTCAGACACTTTTAGAAAGGTAGTGTAGCATTGGCATCTCAGGCCTCGCTCCCCTTGAATGTGCCTGAGCTTTGTGTAAGGAGAATTTGTCTCCGTTAGAGATCAGCAGCTTATCTAGAATGTTTCCATGGCTTTTAAAAAGTTAAAGAATCTGTGTGAAATTAAACAGCAGGAGCAGACGATCTATATCCAACATGCATTTATGTTTCTGCTTGCAATGAGCGCTTTATTGAAGTACAGTGGGGAAAACAAGCGTAGCATGCAGGTAGACTAGTTGGTAATTGAATTTTAGGCAGCAGCTTTTCAGTGACAGTGATGATGAAGGGAAAAAGACCATCTATAAATTCCATCAAGTTGTTAAAACCTGAAGGAGAAGTGAACTGTAGCCTCATACCTGCATACCTGAGCTGAGTTGCTGTTTGTTTTTTCATTTAAGAGTGAACTGCCATACTAAAAAATAGTAGCTAATTCATGCAAGAAGTAGCTAAGCTTGAGAAGGTATAAGTAAAATTTATTTATCTGTGCTTCCCCCACCTAGTGAAACGAAGCCATTTCATAATCTGCCATTTCATAACTTAACCTAATTATGACACCCAAGTCAGTTCTGGGCAAACAAGAAGTATTTTTTGGCAAACAGTCCTGGCCAAAGGTTACTGGGCACATCTTTGAGTGCCTGTTAAAGTTAAACTTCGTATCATTTCCAGGTAGGATTCAGATGATTCTAATACTTAGATGATATTTATAAAATCAGCTGTTTTAGCTCTAGAAGAAATGTGCTGTCAGTGCTGCAGCACCACTGGGGAGTGTGTGTGTATATGTTTTAATCCAGGTCTTTCCAACCATCTTTTCTTTTTTTTGGAGATAGAGTTTCACTGTTGTCGCCCAGGCCGAAGTGCAATGGCATAATCTCGGCTCGCTGCAACCTCAGCCGCCCGGGTTCAGGTGATTCTCCTGCCTGAGCCTCCCAAGTAGCTGGGATTACAGGCGCCCACTCAGCACCCGGCTAATTTTTGTATTTTTAATAGAGACGGGTTTTTACCATGTTGGCTAGGCTGATCTTGAACTCCTGACCTCAAGTAATCCACCCACCTTGACCTCTCAAAGTGCTGGGATTACAGGTGTGAGCCACCGCACCTGGCCTTTCCAACCATCTTAATTGTACTGTTCAAGAGAATTATTTGGATCTGTGAAGTGCTTTGACCTGCTGGGAGCTAGATTCATCAGCAGCATTTATGCAGGATTATTCACTTGTCCAGTAAATGTTGTTGAGTATCTGTTTTGTCTCAGGCCTGTGCTGGGGAGGTATATGGTTGTGGATCAAACGCAGTACCTGTTTACCACTTGAAGGTGCAGCAAACCAACGAGCACAGTACCTAAACCTGACAGGCAGGGCTAAGTAAAAACTGGCAAGGGATTTGAGAGAAGTCAGCCAGCCTAGGCTTGGGCCATCAGGGCAGTCCGGTTGTGCAGAGAAGGAGGGTGGGGGAAAGTTTGAAGAGAGCAAGAGGGTGGAGTGTAAAGGGGCAGCGGGCAGAGAGAGTGGAGCAGTGGACAGGTTGCTTTATAGTGACTTTGTAGATCATGCAGAGGCATTTGGGCACCATCCTGAGGACAGAGGGAAGCCACTGGAGGAGAGTGGCATGGTCAGATCTGTGTCTTCGAGTGATGGCCCCAACCTGCAGCAGAGAGGATGCCGGAGACCGGAGTACACCCAAGGTTAGAGGCGGGGAGGTGGCAAAACTGAGCACAGCGTGTGTGCGTCGAAGGGGACAGACGAGGGAGAGCAGGAGGAGAATCCAGAGGTCTTGGTGACTAATTGTGCACGGACCTAGAAGGAAGTGAGGGTGACGCCTGGTTTGCTGGCTTGTGCTCTGGGAGGACGGTGCTCTGGGAGGATGGTGTGGGGGTGCCATTTGAGGGAAGAGGCAGAGAAGCAGGTCTGGAGGAGAGTTGATTACTTCTGTTTGGGGTATGTTAAGTTTGAGATGTTCAAATGAAGAAGTCCTAGTGTTGAAAGGTGAAGAATGGGTCTGGGTACAGAGGCCAATGGTGTGCCAGGGACTTCTGAAGCCATGAGAGTTCGTCCTATCTATCACTTGGGGACTGCACAGGGAAAAACTCCCCACCCACATGCTTCCTCTGCTCTCACCACAACAATCAACACAGAAGAAGCCTTCTGTGATCTAATGTGTAGGAGTTTTCCCCATACACCGAGCAGCGGACACCAGCTAGGTGTCCCTGCATTGTGTTCTGACCCTACCTACCTGGAGATAGTGTCAGATCCCACAGGTTGAGGGCTCTGTGGCAAGTCCGGGCCTGTGGAACTTCTGACTCACCAGCTTCAGGTTGGAATTTCCATGGCCTCCTGTTTGGATTTGATTGATTTGCTGGAGCTACTCGCAGAGCTCAGGGAAACCATTAATGTTATGGGTTTATTATGAAGGACACTGGAAAGGTTCCAGATGAAGAGACGCATAGGGCAAGGTATGGGGAAGGGGGCGTGGAAGCTCCTGTGTTCAGCTGCCGGGAAGCTCACTGACCCCTGTCTTCTTTTATGGAAGCTTCATGATATCAGCATTTTTTCCCCCGGGACCTAGGGGGGACCCTCTCCTGGGAGGGTCTTAAGACCCACTGTCAGCAAGGGGGAGGGGGGAATAATAGAGTGGAAGGAGGGCAGGAGAAGGTGAGGCCCCAGCGCCCCTGAGGCTCACGCACCTGGCATTCTAACAGAAGACTAACCAGGGCCGTGAGGAGCCAGGAATGGGGAGGAAAACTGGCATCTCTCGCCACACCCCGGGAACGTGGCCTGGGGGACACTCTGGCTTTTAGGGGGTGAGTAGAGGAGGAGTTACAGAGCAACTGAGGACCAGCCCAGGGGTGGGAGAAGAAGGCGTGGCTGCTAGCTAGGTAAAATCCTGTCAGAAACTTCCAGGAGCTTCTTAAAGAACTGGAACCTCACTTGGAATGTCAGCTATCACTTATTCTAAGCATTCTTAAGTAATCTTGACAGTTAAACACTTGTGTTCCTGCAATGGGATATGAATGCAGTACTTGACGGAATTAAACCCAGGACCTATAAACAACTGCATTTGAGTCACTTGTACATGAATTTTCCCCAGGGGAGCAGGGCTGCCTCCCATACCACTTACTTGGCAGGGAAGATGCCCAGAGGGGACCTTGCCTGCCTCCTACCTGAGCGTGAAAGGGCACCGCAGGTGGCGGCTCTGACCTTGCTCCCTCACCTAGCTCCAAGTTACACTCTGCACTGTAGACACCCAGCTTCAGCACCTCCCCCGACCACGAGTCCCCGCCCAGCAAGTTAGGGCCACACTAGGCTCCCTGCAGTAATTACTCTTCAGCAGTGAAAACGAGCAGCCCAGGTTTTGTCCTTGCCAAGCAGTAGTTGTTCACACTGACTTTTTTTTTTTCCCTAGAGACGGAGTCTCACTTTGTCGCCCAGCTTGGAGTACAGTGGTGTGATCTCAGCTCACTGCAACCTCTGCATTTCTCTTGCCTCAGCCTCCCAAGTAGCTGCGACTACAGGTGCACGCCGCCATGCCCAGCTAATTTCTTTTGTATTTTAGTAGAGACGGGGTTTCACCATGTTTCCCAGGCTGGTCTTGATCGCTTGACCTCAGGCAGTCCGCCTGCCTCAGCCTCCCAAAGTGCTAGGATTACAGGCGTGAGCCACCGTGGCTGGCCCTGACTTTTCTTTTGTTGGCAAAACTCATTGCCTCAGCAGTTGACAGATACAAAAAAGACACCTATCCAGTGCACGTGGAATAACTTTCAGAGGAAAATTTGCAGTTGGAGTCCATCCAAAAATTTTGTACTTCAATTAAGCTATTTAAATTTCTGTTTAACTTTTGACTTACTGACTTTCTAACCTGAATGCAATGAAAAGCCTCAGTGTTTACTGCCATAGTTTATCAGGTTCTCAGCTACAGAAGATGCAATTTTAACAAAGCATCGGCTGGGCGCAGTAGCTCACGCCTGGAATCCTAGCA